CCATCATTATGCATAAAATCTTCTCTTTTTTTGTTAAATTATGGTATTTAGGTTTTCATATTTCTTTCATCTTTTTGAATGAGCAGATGGAAGTAGTAAAGTATAGACATTTCAAAATAAGAGTCACTGTGTATTTCAGGCTTGTTTATGATTGAAAGGCCCTCATGATGCATAAAATCTTATTTTTGGTATTTTGCTTCCCATATTTTTGTCATCGTTTTGAATGAGCAGATGGAAGTAGTAAAGCATATACATTTCAAAATAAGAGTCCCTGTGTATTTCTGGCTTGTTTATGATCCCTCATTATAAATTGTTGGTTTGTCCTGTAGGGGCATGTGATAGTAATTTTATGTGTGCGGAAAAAGGTCTTAAAAGCTCTGCAGAAGCCCTGTGATAGCGAATTGGTGTGTGATTGGATGGGAACTGATGGCCTGATGCCAGTTCTGTGTTCTGGTCGAGTGGATGCAGTCAATGCTTCTCACTGGCCCGTTGTTCCCGCGTTTATATTGTGTAGCGTCTTTAACTGTCTGGGGAACGAAGTGCCTGGAAAATGTTCCTGTGAAGATGTTCTGAACGTGATAATTTGGGCCTTTTTTTTTTCTTATTGCTTGTTCTCTTGAGACTCCATTTGGTAAATCAGCTACAGTTTTTAGTGTTGTAAGAGCGTTTCTACATTTTCTGTTGAGGAAATTGATTGCAGAAATTGTGGTTTGTATGTTTCCATTCTTATTCACTCAGAATCCAAGCTGAAATAATAATCAGTATTGAGGTGAGAGGCTGGAAATGATTGACTGGAAGGTAAGAAGTTGAAGACGTGTAGATGACAGGATTGGGTCAAATTCAGCGTTTATGATTTGACTCTTCTCCGTGTGAATTTGAATTGAATTGGCCACGACACATAGGAAGTTGAATTCTAATTAGAATTGGAATGACATGTTTTGTTTTACAATCTTGTAAACCTGGTCATCTTTTTTGGTTCATTTTTTGGACTTTAAAGATAAATTAGAATGTTTTTTGTAAGTGTTTTTCCATTATAGTCCATATAATAAAATTAATCTTAAATTAATACACAAGTGTTTATTATTATTATTATTTATTATCTATATACTATTATAATTTTTTTAATATTTTGAATTAGCTTTTTATATTTTTATTTTCATTTAAATTTTACTTTAGGATTTAATAATTTTTAAATATTTCTATATAGTATTCATTTTAGTTTAATTTACAGGACAGTTTCACAGCATGTGAAACAAATTTCAGTGAAATATTAAAATGAAAATAGTTGTTAATCAATAATTATTTTAGTTTTATTTTGTAGTTTTAGTACTTAATCTTAGGAGGCTTTCTCACTAGCACTTTTGTTGCACACCGGGGTTAGTTTGACGTCAGAGTTTGGTTCGTTTGGATGGATGTGGATGCTGTTTTCTGAACCCGATCAACTCGAAACGCAGACCAGATCAGTTCAGTCGTGAGAGGTGAGTTTTCCAGCAGGTGTTTCTGTGTGTCACACACCCAGAAAACGATTAGATTTACACAGTCTGTTCCTGTTCTGTCATATTTCAGTCCCGTTCACTCACAGACGACAATGATGATCTTTTGCCTCGTTTTTGTCTGTGAATAATGGGCCGTGTGAAGGTGGGGCCGAACACTGTCCTGCATGATGTCAGGCTCTGAGCTCACCTGTGTCCGTTCTTACGTATGAAAACATGTACTTTAGAGAGGAACGGGTTCAGTTTAGTGCTAAAATACAGGTTGAGCTGTTTTATGGCTCCAGGAGCTTCAGATAATCATATAAGACTCAAGTTAAAGTGAAACCAGTGAATGTACATCTACATGAATCATTCACTCTATTGACAGAGTTTTATGAAAGTTTCCATGTTTCCAAGTATTGCAAGGCTGGTATATAAAAACAAAAATAAATAGAGGAGAAAAAAAATAAAAAATAAAAAATATATATATAAAATTTAGAATTCTATTAATTTTATATTTATAATTATAAAAATGTCTTTATATGTGTGAGTCATTAAGTATAGTAATGATGTAGTGCTTTTCTACTTAATTTATGATGATTATGTATTACTCAGAAGGTTGGACATCACTCTTGGATGTGGTTGTGTGTTGATGAATGATGATGACAGCGGTTGTTTACTGTACACTAATGTGTTCTGATGGCTCATGCAGTTAAACAGATTGAGTTGTTTGTGGTGTTGTTGAAGGTTTTCCTTCTTTAGGCTCCTGTGTCATGCATTTGTGTTACGTGCACATCAGGTTTCAAGGGAACGACACGTGAGAC